TACAAAGCTCATCATCTTTGATTGGTAAGTCCGCTTGTCTGGAATGCGTGATACTTTATATTAAAATCAACTCACTTTCAACGCCGCTGCAAACAGTAAACAACTGAAATTGCTACAGCGGGAATAATACTTGCAAAATACGCAGTTTTCATAAAGCTGATCTAAATTCAAAAAAATGGATGGTGATGTACGATGCAAAAAAACAATTTATCTACGACTTAGCAAGGCATTTAATTAAAAATGCTCAATTTTGAGAGTATAATATACCAAACTAATCAGTAGCGATCTGATATTTATATGGACCGTTCTATTCCGATTCGCATACTTTCCCTAATAATTATCCCAAATTTTTTTCTCAGTTTTGCTGAATAGTAGAGTTCAGAGCGGGATATAAAAAAATGTAGAGAAAACCTGAAAAAAAGATCTTAGTTACGACCGTATTAAGTGGCAAAATTCACCATTCTTCAGCTCAATACAGCTATTTTTTCAGAATTACAGCGCAGTTTGTTCTCAATGAACTGCATATAATTTGACACCAAGTTCTTCTTGTCTTTTGCTTTATGCAAATATAACATCTTCTAATTCCACAAAAAGACTGAGTGGATACATCAAAAGCAAAAGTTCAAAACATGTGAAAACGAAACGTCTTTTTAAATTAAAAAAAACAACACGTTTAGTAAAGAATTTTATGTTAAATAACATATTGTAAGTTGGTGATATTTCTCAATTGGCGTTAAGAGTTATGCGATGAAAAGCAAAGTGAGGGACAGAATCCTACTGTTATTATAGTACTCTCATACATTTTACAGCGGCAAGATAATCATCACTTTCAAACTCTGCTTCTGAAGGTCACAGCAATCCGCTGTGAGTGACAATATCATCCACGGTTTACTCAAAAAGATAGTACGTACGTGAAACTTTAGAAATTATCATTGTTCAATAAGAATAGTTAAACAAAGCTTTTTTTAGTTTCTTAAAGTTCTGTTTTTTAAAAAGTGGCAACGATAACCCACCTGTTTCACGAATTAAAGGCGGTAAGTTTGAAACAAAAAGATATGCAAAACTTAAGAGTCGAAATACATTAAATCCCAATGAAGAAAGTTTGCGAACTGGCACAGAACAGCTTATAAAAATAAGGAAATAAATATTTCGATAAATAATTAAACAAGTAAATAAACGAATAATGATTATATAAAGAAATGAATATATAAATATACATATAGTGCTCGTGAGACGCATCACCGCTACAAACTATTGAAAATTCTTTACCGTAATTACACCAGCGTTAGCCTTACAACTATAATGATCAGTTCTAAACAAATTTTCTTATGATAAAATTTCTCAAAATTAATAAATTTACAAAATACAAAATAATGTTATAGATTCATTAAATTAGTATTTTGTGTTTTGGTGCAAAACTGGTTTACCCTAAAAATTGTTTGTTTCCTCTAAAAACAAAAAAAAAAAAGTTTTTGTAACGAGCCTCCAAGTTAGAAGAAAAAAACAGAAAACTTTTCAACAGAAAAAGTGAAAAAAAAACTAAATTGTTCCTCTATCTGATAACTTTCTTATGACTGAAAAAACAAAAGAAAAAAATGTTTTTGTATTTGTCCTTGTGGAAAAAACCTTCAAGGATGCTAAATAATACCTAAATTTTAATTTAAAAATTCTTTATTCGAATTTCAGTAGAGCAACTGCTTTGCCACTGCTACTGCTTCGAAAGCACAAGAATTAATTACTTAATTTAAGACATGAATGTTCTACTCTGCATAGCCCTCTCATAATATTAATTTGAATAATTTGCACAACTGGTACTAGATATTTTAAAATTTAGCTCCGAAACTGGTTACCCAAAGAATGATGGTTCAAGATGGTTACCCAAAGAATGATGGTTCAAGATCAAGATGGTTCTTATAATGAAACTTCTTGAGTTCCCTTCAGACGTTCAATCCTCTCTTATAAAATTTGTCATATAGCTTCATTCCCAAAGTTTTAAGATGAAAGAGAGAAAACTAGACTTATTCAAAAAA